CAACTTGGGGCTTTTGCACTTGCTATTCCTGCCTAGAAGCTTCTTCCCCTAGAGAGTCAGTCACGTGGCTCATTTCCTCACTCCATTCAGGTCTCTGCTCAAAAGTTTTCTCATCAGAGGCCTTCCCCAATCACACCACATGAAGGAACACACCATCTCCCCAACTCCTACCACTTTCTAACCCCCAACCTTACTTTCCTTCTCTTCATAGTACTTATCACTACTGAGATGCTATCCTTCTTAAACTAAAAGCAGGGATTTGGTTTTTGTTCACCACTGTTTTGTTTATCCCAGTATTGTCACCCTGAAGGAATTCAACATATATATGTTGAATAAATAAATGATCACCTGAAACCGATTTTAAAGTATGTGTAACTCAATAAAATCTGACAAGTGAGTGAAGGACTTGGACAATATGGCTCCTTTCAGTCTTTTAATTTATTTAATGTATGTGTGTCCACACTCAATTTAATTTCACCAATTTTGAGTCACATATGAGAAATGTACTATTAGTGTCTCCAATATGTACAGTCCTCTGTAATGTGTAATCTCATCTAATACAGTTGATTAAAGTCCATGAGACAAACCTGAGAGATTTATTCAGAATTAAATGACTGTTGGTTGAGCACACAATATATAGTGTACTTCACAGTCCAATTTATAGGGGAAAAAATCAACGTCAAACGACCATTAACTATTACGTGCTAGTTTAAAATTTTCTTTCTACACTACTTACCAACAACTACTAATTAAAGGTTATTTCAGGAGCTATGATAGTTGATGGAGATGCAAAATAATTGAAGACATGATGTTTTATAATCTGATCGGGGAGCTAAGACATATGCAAGAAAAAGCCAGAAAATAATCTAAAATCAGAAATATGAGAGTCCAAGAGTAGCAATGAAGGCTGATTACATATCCAAAAAGTTAAAAACAAAAAACAACAATAAAAAACAACCCCAAACCACCAAGTGGGGCATTTATCCCTTCACAGTACAGCAGGTTCTTCCCATGCATTTAAGAGACACCTTGATTCTAGGCTAGTCATTACAGATAACCCAGAATGTTTGGTCCTGGACCTACTCATCTCCATCCACTGAATACACAAGTGGCCATGCAATATGACCATTCTGGGACAGTCCTTATGACCTTGACCATTCAGTGCTTCCTATCTCTTCAAGGCTGTACTTGACCGTATTAGAAATTTGTTTAGAAAGACTTCTTGCGCCCTCTGGTGGCTGGCAAGATTAACAAGCTACTTTACAGGGTTTTAAAGGCATGTTAGTTGGATTATTGATACTTACAGAAAGCTTTTCCACATCTCCCTTTAAAACTCGTTCTAAGTAAAGCTGTTTTAGTTCTCGTTCCAACCGTGATGGTAGTCCAGGGTACATTGTAGACCCTCCAGAAAGCACAATGTGCTTATAGAATTCAGATCTAGAAAGACACAATAGATAACCATTTGGGGTTTCAGATTAGGAAAACAGTATCTCAGAGTCCCTGTTATTTATGTCAGCTAATTGCTAGGAGAATTAAAATTCAACATATAAACCACAGGCTAAATGTTTGCTATTACTACTATTATTGGCTAACAAGCCCTCCTTTCATATAAAATGTTACAATTTTGATGAATATACTTCTAAAGCATGACACACTTGAAATGTACCTGAGTCTTTTAATAATGACCAGTTTACATTACAAACTATCAGTATTTGGACTGTGTTATAACAGTGCTTTCTGGAGCCTTTGAGAAGTGGTTGTTTACTCCAATAACCATATTCTATTATGTTCCCAGTTCTTGCTTTTCAATTTTTCCATTTGCCTTTTGTAGTTTCCCGTTTTGTTCCTTTGCCTTGAGGTTGTCACTTATTTTTTGTTAGACTGATGAACATGTTTGCTTCCTATAGTAATCCTCTCCTTTCCTTAAATATGTTGTTGGTTAATCAAATATAAAATAGCTACATATGTAGTAAAACATAATCTGAGGGAGGGTCCGAGGAATTCTTCTCATAGTAAAGCTCGGGAGCTGAGTCACATCCATTTTGGCTTCATTCAAACTGGCTTCGTGTCTTTAGTAGTTACTCCCAGGTTCTCAATGGCTCAAGCGACTGTAATTCTAGCTTCTAAAAGAACAGCGTTTTTGTTTTTATTAATTGCAGAAGTATGGACATGCATGTCCCATAAGCCAAGCAGCTGAAGTATGGCTCCATGTGATATGTACCATGAGCATTTACATGTATGCCTTCAATATGTAGAACACACAAACAAACTAAATTTTGAGTTGTGCTCCTTTCCACTCCGGGTCTGTGGAGAGGGGCTGAACTTGACCCCAGTGTTTTAGGAATGCCTAAACGTTAATCACCACCAACAGGAGATGTAGTGTTTTTTTAAAATATATTTTATTGATTTTTTTTTACAGAGAGGAAGGGAGAGGGATAGAGAGTTAGAAACATCGATGAGAGAGAAACATCGATCAGCTGCCTTCTGCACACTCCCCACTGGGTATGTGCCCGCAACCAAGGTACATGCCCTTGACCGGAATCAAACCTGGGACCCTTGAGTCCGCAGGCCAACGCTCTATCCACTGAGCCAAACCGGCTAGGGCAGGAAATGTACTTTTAAATACAATTTTCATTAAATCAAAGGACAAAAGCTTCTATCTAATTTCTATTATTAGGATTTATCATAATTATGAAGTCTAGGTTAGATGTTTTATCATCCTCCATTAGATTTATAGATTTACTAGAGGCCCAGTGCACAAATTTGTGCATGGTGGGGTCCCTCAGCCTGGCCTGTGCCCTCTTGCAATCCGGA